AATTTCCTTCCCCTCCCCAGCCCCAGCCGCCTCTTTTATTCTCTGTTTTCCCCCCCCTCCATGCCCTGTTCGCTGCCACGTAGTGCTGCAGCTTGGGACAGTTGTTGGGCTCTGGGACGAGAGATGCAATGTGGTCTGGGCTGCCAGGTTGGTTCCTGAGCTGCTACGGGAAATCATGTTGATGCCCAGTGGTGTTACTGTGTCAGGGAAAGATGGAGGGTGGCTTTGCAGTGGCAACCTGCTGACTTACATGGACAGCAGGTTAGAAGTGACTCCAGAGTCCCAGGGTATATTTCTTCCAAAACAAGGCAGCAGCCGAACTCCTGAACACTTTCAGAGCAACAGGACTTTGCTTACCACAGTGCAATTTTCCAGCATCAAGATCCACCTTCTCCCCATCCACCTTAGCCTTGCTTAAGTCTCCTCTAAAGTAGGTTGAGCTGAGTGTGTTTCATGAGCGTTGTGGCCAGCTCATCCTCTGAACTGCGCCCCAGGAACGTGGGCTGTCGTTATCGGGAAATGCAATGCCATTATATATGTACAGACACGTCCAAGACAGCAGAGCTACAGCTAGACACACAACCTTCCTCGTAGCATCAGCTCGCTCTGCATGCTGTGCTATCACAAGTCACTGATAATCTCATAACTCACAAGTGGAAGAATGGAGATGAACACCATGGATATTAAGAAAGGTCGTAGCTAGTGACTCGAAACAAACGGGCAGGGGGCCCCCAGTGCCCTCTGCTCTTGGTACATCGGTTTTACTGGGAGCCTGAGGTGCTTGGGGAGCTCTCTTTGGGCTGCGACAGGTCAACACTGTTTGCATTTACACATCCAAGAACGGGGAAAAGCAGGGAGCAGAAAAGCCCTTTGCAGCAAAGGCAGTCATGGAAAGGAAGGAACAAAGCAACAAAGGGAGTGAGGAACAGGGGCATTTAGGCAAATCAGGGGTAGACAGTAAATAAAGACTTTTTCCCTGAAAGACTTTATTGCCTTTTCCTCCAGCAAATGCAATTGAGCCACAGATGAGGCGGCAGAGCTGACAAATTCAGCGACTGCTGCCTGCTTCCACCAGGTTGCACCCACAGCAGCCACCTTCCACGCTCCACAGGCTGTCGAAATCCTCGGGTAGGCACTGAGATGGTA